CTAGGCCCATTATTTAGCCTCTTTTGCTCTAGCCTTTGATAGATGTACCTATTTACCACTGGTACTACTATAGAAGGGGGTACTAGCTGTTGTTGTTGTAGTAGTACATTTGATAACAAACATACAAGAAGCTCACAGTTTTAGTTGCAGACGTAGCCTACATCCCATAAATCAGTAAGATGTTATAGGCCTGCTGTAGGTAAATAAAGAACAGTACAGTAAAGGTAATAGACAGCGTGACCATTCACAATTTTTGATATACCCAATGACTGGGTCGAAATTACTCAAGATTCAGCAAAAATTGCCCAAAATTACCCCCAGCTTCCAGAAAATACATTAAAATTTGAAAATAACGTGTTTTTCGCATGTATATTTTCCCTTTTAGTTCAATTTATAAACCATTTTTTATTGTAATTGTTTGTGTTATAATTATTAAAATTAATATTCATGAGGCGATAATACGAATAGAAAAATACGCCCTCAGTCGGCCAGTGTTATCAGTAGATCAGTGATCAAGTTTTATTATGTAATGTATTAATTAGGTAAGATCAATGGCAACGCAAATCACAAATTCAACAATTCTGAACCCATGTTTATAGCAATTAACAGTCAATTAACAACGTTATCTCCACTTTGTTGAGTTTTGCTTACTTGAATGAACTGAAATATACTTTGTTACTTCTTAATTCTTCCTCTATTACAAAAATATTTAATTTTCTTAGTAAAATAAAATACCCAAGGATTTCATCACTAGCAGGCCCTAGCATCAGTGGCGTAGGGGTCTTGAAATGGAAGGGAGCTCATAGGGGTAGGAAAATAAAGTGGGGGATCGGTGAGGGGATAACTCGCAAAATAAGGTGATATGAGGTCATTTTTAACTACTTGAGCATGATTTTTGGGCGTGGGTGCGGCTGGGGGATGGGCGAGTATTATTTTTCAGGGCTAGGGGGAGGGACGTGAGTGCACGCCCCTTGCACATCCTTGATATGCCAATACCTAGCATACCCTGCAATTTACCCTACGGTCCGCCACTGTTGTTGAATGAGGTTCAATGGCAACTTCCGAGTCGGTAACTTGAGTGGTGGTGGAAGAGTCAGCTCGAGATACTCACCAGGGAAAATTGTGGGTGGGTTCCCTGACAGCGTGAGTGAGTCTAACGGTAACGTTGGACTGGGGTTTAAGAGACCCATAAGTGTGACAAATAACTTTAGCAGACCTCGCATAGTTTTGGTCTAATACTGTACTAATATCATTGACTTTCATAAATGGGCCACCAGCCAATATTTCAGTGTCCAAATCTTCAACCACAAGTCCATCAAAGACGATCATGAATGAATGTCCCTGTGTAACGTGAAGTAAGTCTCTCCAAAACTACCTGGAGAGAGAGCCAAGGGGGTTCAGAGCGTGGGGTCCAGGGGCCCGCCGAAGGGCCACGGTGGGGTCGAGGGGGAAAAGCCTCAAAAGCCAGAGCTTTTTTGCACTTTTAAAGCGTGTACAGTATATGGCATATATTTAAGTACTTCTTGCAGTTTAAAATGAAATACATTTTTGTAATTATCCAATGCCGCAAGGGAGTAAGAGTTCTAGTATGCAGGGCCTCTAAAGTAAATGATCACTTCTTTTCAACACAGGATTTCAAGACAGTTATTAACAACGCACAATAAAAACACGAGAAATTACAGTAAGTAAATTTGAACATCAATATAGTAGAATTTTATTTCTGCTAGAAATCAATATTACAAATACTAATACAATAATAGTAATGTAATCGCTTAAGTCACAAGGGGTTTGCTTGTCAAAAGGGGGGGGGGGGGTTCGGCCCAACAACCAGGCCCCCCCCCCCCCGGCTACGGGCCTGTGCCTGGTTGGCGGATTGGCTTGAACTTCTCACTTAGACTCCAAGTCTGTAAGCAGTGGACTGCTTGATCATGTTCCCTGTAAAAGCTCTGCTGTCGATGATAAGTCGTTCCCGGTTATTCATGTTTCTAAAATTTAAGTGTAATTCGTATTAAGATACAAAATATAATAGTTTCATCATGGTTTAAAATGTTCTGTATAATGAATAAACTGCTATAAAACAATATGGTGTTCATTTTGATTCCATAGAAATTTCACTTGATTTATACATTATTATTTGAGAGCAACCGTGCTGAAGTCACATGAGACAGCTATAGCCATTTATAGCCTTGTGAGGCTCTTCCGGGGGCCAGGAGCGCATTTAAGGGGGGGGGGGGGAACCGTCCCGGCCCCCCCCCCTTTTTGGGAGGTTAAAAAAAAGGGGAAAAAAAGAGAGAAAAAGAAAAAAATGATAGCCATGAATGCCTCAAATGTTATGTTCGGGCGTCTAGAACACAAAAATTTCGCGGGGGCATGCCCCGAACCCCCTACGACAATGTTGTCTCAATCGGCCCAACTTCCGACCCTCCCCCTTTTGGACATTTCTGGATCCGCCCCTGGCCCCTGCATATGGTCCCTCGCTTCGATCAGAACACTTGTATCCCCCCACATAATATCACAGACTCACACTGCCCCCCCCCACCCTACAGTTCTGTTTATGTATGTATATGTATATATATGTGTATATATGTATATGTATATATATATATATATATATATATATATATATATATATATTATAGTAATAAAACGCATAAAGCAAAAGTGTAGAGTAGCCGTAACTTTTAATGGTAAAAACACAAACGTTTTCGGGCATCACCATTTATCAGGTGGTCATCAATCAGTAGATGCATCAAAACATATTAATGTATTTTTAGGCATGTATAGTTAGAGGGCTTCAAATGGCTTCCCTATTCTCACTATTTAAATTTAGAGCCATACTATCAGTGATATTAGGCTAGTTAGGCCCTAATCATAGGCAACAATTTCAGATCTACTAAGGCTAGAAGATGCCCCGAGGGTATCCTCCCAGTCCTATAGCCTTAGTAGATTTGAAATTGGTACCTAATTGATTATAAAGCCTAAATCACTGATAGTATGGCTCGATAAATTAAAGTGGTGAGCAACAGGAAGCCCTTTTGATGGTCATCAACTATTTTTTTTTGTGGTCGCTTTCACCTACAATAATTACCGTTAGTTACATTTGGGCCTAGTTCAAAATAGTTAAGTCTGAGTATACATTCGATTTCGCCTACATAGGTCATAGGCCTAATTGCTGTTTATTATATTTTATTTCAAAATAGTAGTGTGCTGCGCTTTTGTACAACGGTGACGACTAGCACATCTTTTGACGACTTTACCTGACTGAAAACGTGAATCAGTAAGGCTAGTCCTATGTCTAGGGAAAAACCCCCCGAAATGTGAGACTCAGTCTAAAATCGATAAAACAACTCATAAATCTTGATATTTCTGGGCTCATGGCGAGTTTCTGGGCTAACCCTGGTCCCGCCCACCTACAGTATCAGTCCCGTCGGGGACATCGGCGATCAACGGCCCTCCAACCTTCAGGAAAATCCAGGCGCGCGCCACCACTCACTCAAGACAATCATCATCAACCAACATCAACAGAATAGCAACCTTCAATTTATCAAACACGAACATTTCGGCGTGAGCTCCATGAGGTTAAAGCCGTTTCAGTACGATCGACAACGAATGCCACGAATGACATTTGGCGTAAGCACAAATCCCTTGTGAAATATACTCTGATAAGGATGTTTGTTGTTTATGCTGGGTGTGGTATACCACGTGGATACGCTATGGACAGTGTTTTTATAACAGTTATGTTGATTGGCTCACTAAAAATAGCCTTGGTAACTCGGATAGGAAGCTCCAATCATAAGCGAGAAAAATTCACGTGATTCTTTGTTTGCATTTTTGACCTCGTCAACGTGCGTATGTAGAACGAAAACGATAAACGTCGTACGGAGAGTGAGCAAAACAAACCAGCTGAGTGACCCAAAACATAATTGTGATAGGTAGAAAGATTGCCATCTATTTCTCCGATTTACTAAAGTTTTACTATTCAAAATGACATCAATGATCAACATAACTCAGCTTCTTCAGGCTGCAGAGTTTTTAGAGAGACGCGAAAAGGGTTAGTCTCGTGAATATTTCCAGAAACTTGTATCGTTTCCGTTTTGACAGCTGACGATCATTGCTAGGCCTAAGCTCCTAGGCCTAGGCCTACTACTAGCCTAATAAACAAAAGCCTAGGTTTTGATATAGGTTATACCCTAGATTAGGATAGGCCTAACTACGGGCCTACAGAAAACTAATTAAAGAAGATATGTGAGTTAGGACTGTTTGTGCTCCAGGTATAGCACTAGGCCTAGGACCATACCGCTAGGCCTAGTCCTACTTTTTTTTACTAGGCTAGGTCTAGCCTAGGCATAGCCTAGCCAGGAAATCAAATTTTTATTTTAATTAGCCTAAGGCGAAATTTTTTTTAATTCTTTGTTTCTCGTACTTATTTGTTTAAAGATTATAGGAGGAGGGCGGAATAAAAATAGAATTTTGTTTTCTTATTTAGCAAATAGTTTTGCCAAAATCATCCACACGGAGGATAAAATAAAATTTTATTGGTGAATGTAAAATAGGATGTTTAAATGCTTCAAATTTATGTAATTATGAAGAAATATACATATCTTATCTTTGGAGACTTAAGGCAGCGGAGGGCGTAATAAACACTTTTATTTCTTTTTAACTCCACTTTTTCGTGGCGACGGGTGCTCTAATTGGCCAAAAATAAAATTTTATTTATTCGAAATCATCAATATTTGCAGTTGGCGGGGTTCGCTAAACAAGGTATAAAAAAGCCTCGCCTAAAAAGAAAAGTCGGGGAAGGGAATATTAAAATAAATAGGGCCTAGGCCTTCTTTCTTGTTTAGACCAAGACAAATTTTGTTGATGTCAAGTGTTTTTGGTTCATTTTTATTTGCTAATTATTGGTTGTAATCTAACCTGGTAGCCTAGGGCTACATACATTTTATTTTGGCCTAGGACCCTTCTAGGAGGCCGCCTAATTCAGTGTCACACTGTCAGTGTGCCATAGTCCGACGACTGTTTTTTTTTTTTGCTGGACCTGGCCTTGGCCCTCGGAGTTCTGGTGACTGCAGTAATTTGCCACCAGGCGTACGACACATCCGACCAGGAGGGGAGGGTCCGGAATATAAATTTACTGTTTTTATGACTTACTAATAGTATGGCCCCCAATAACGGGCTCTGAGATGGAATCCGCAAGGATAGAGGAGTAGAGGTCGTCCCAGAAATAGCTGGAGAAGAACTGTAAATGATGAGGCAAAGTGGGCTGGCTACTCCTGGAAGTGGAAGCAGATTGAAACAAAAGCTCAAAACAATCAAGCCAAAACAAACACTGGTGTGACGCCAGAGCCAAAACCCATTTACACTTAACAAAGAAACTGCGGGATGATCTCGGGTTACACCAATTTACACTTGACAACGAACACCAGTGTTGAACGCTGCCCTCTATGGAATTTTTGAGGGAAACTAGCTCATTAGTCTGCAATCAAGTTTAGTTTGACAGCGGGGAAACATTTTAATTTATTTTTACAGTAAAAACCGAATTAATTTCTAAACAAAAATACAATCCAACGCAATAAAATATAACTTACATTATGTTTATTATTTTTAACTAAATACATTCAATATAGATAAATAGTTATATTATAACAAAAAAAATGAATAATTTTAACGAAAATTGATGATTAAAATCCCGGTATGTGAAAGGCAGGACTGTTTACGCTGTGCGTTTCAATGGGACTATCCTGGAGAAGCTTCTCCTGAAAACATTCAGCTTCGTTGAATTTGGGTTCAGCACACCAGAGTCATTGACGTTCACCCATTTTACACTAACCCCCAACTCCGGTGTTTGAAACGAGGTGTATCGACAACGAGGAAGTAAAATCGGGTTTATTCCGGATAGTGTAAAGGGGTATTATTTAGACAATTCAGGAATTGGCAATCAAAATACTGTATTATTTGGATGGGCACCCTCCACGAGGGTGCAGAGCCCTGCGGTGTGGGGAGTGTTAACAGGCGCCATTCATGGCCATATTATTTTTTTTATTTTGATCCGACGATCTCGTGGAATCGGACATTGTGGATCCCCACTGGTGCCACCATAACTTGTGGTTGCCGAACCCCGCAGGGTGTAACAGGCGCCATTTCCAATCGGGATCTGGTTTTCAACCTGTAGCCTACCTCTAGTCACAGCCATTACACATACATCATACAGTAGTCTACTGTAGGCTACTTTTCAATCAGCAGTCCATCATGTATGTAAAACGCAGGAGAGCACTGAATTGCTCTCCTTGAAAATTTCACAGCTTTGAATAGACGCCCCTGTCCCAAAGGGTGGATCAAGGTGTCCGAATTAGGGGGGCGCGCAGTCGACAGACAACACTACTCTAGGGGGATCCGGCATGTCCCGGGAAATTTTGTTTTCTAGAAGCCCGGAAATAACTTTTGAAGCATTATAGGAGATCAATAAAAGAGGGGGAACTGGCCTCCCCACAAATCCTGCCTCCCCACAAATCCTTCCTCCCTCCCACTCAAATAAACACTCACACCAGAGCCTCATTTGGAATAAACCCTCTCGAAGTAACGCCTGGAGGACGTGGAATATCGCGTTTTTTGGCGTCACCTGTGTATAACCACACCTATTTCAATCTCCAAAATATTATGTTTTTATCTATTTTGAAACATTGACATTATATTTGCAAACATTAAAATAAAGAAATTTCAACTTTATCAGCCGATTCTTAAACAACAAACTGGAAATACTTGTATTCTCCAGGAAAACTCTAATCAAAACAATGTATTACCTAGGGAAATCCCCATTTTTTCGCTTAGACGTCAGTATATTTTCTGCGTTAAATTTCCGACCATGTGGGTTTCAACAATCATTTTAGTTTATTCAAATTTATATATTAATTTAATATAGAATATAGTGAGCATATTTGTTTATCTATTATTCAATCAATAATAAAAGCCAATATTGACTAAAAATATTCTAGGCCTAACTAGTCATTATTACTACTCAGTACTCACGACCTTTCGTGGTGGAAATTGCGTATAAAATTTGCTTCTTTATACACTGGAATATATTGTAGCTTTAGTTGCAAAATTCGATAGATTTTGATCATGGACAAAGTTTCAAAATACAATTTTTGTCATTAATTTTTGTTTTAATTGCCTCATAAATCAAGGAGTGCGGTTAGTTGCTCTCCTGAAAGCGTGTTCAGGAGCGCGGAAGAGTGCGATCGTTCTCGATCTCCTTAAAAATGATGGACTGAATCAGGCCTACATAATACAATCACATAGGCCATAGAATGAAGTTTGAATTTAACACACTATCAACCCATTAAATTGCAGAACATGGATATGCTTCCACTTTACCTCATAATCATCATGAAAATATTAAAAGAAAAATGAAGTCTAAGCGAAATCATAATAGCAGGTTTGTTTTATTTTTAATTCAGAAGCTATTTTATGTATATAACTTTTTTTAAAATATACATTTCGAACTATTTAACTTTTTGATAATGTAAGGAAAAGGCATAAGGTAGGCATTATATTTTGGTTCACTACCAATGATTTTTTTCCACAGGCCTATGAAGAGCCTAACTAAATAAAGTGCTATTTTATTACAATAATCATCTCCATTCAGTAACAGTAATTTAGTTTTTTTTTACAGTATTTTGCTCACCATAACCATGTCCATTTTTATTGTAAAGTAG